CGGGCCGCGGGCACTGGCGGCAGAGGAACCCGGGTACGATTCCCACACACCCCTTTTTCAACCTCGGAGATGGGTCTCCATACCCACCCCCCCCCCAACGTTTAGCACCCTCTTGGCACAGCTAAGCCCAGAATCCCTTCTCAGCTGCTCCTGCCCCCCAACATGCCCCTTGCCCCAGGCCTGCAGGAACTTTAGCGGTGACAGGAGTGGCAGTCTTCTGTCTGGTTGGGGACGGGTCCTAGGTGAGGAGGTGGTGCAGGTCCAGCCGACCTGGGGGACTTGGGGCCCTGCTCTGACTCCCTCTGTGGCCAGCATTCAAAGGTGGACTTAGTGGTGGGGCTGGGGAGAGAGCAGATATGGAAGGGTGTCGGGGACGGTGCTGGCTTCCAGATATGTTCCGTGTGTCTGTGCACCCATCAGTCCCATCTGCCCGGGAGCCTGTAGGTCAGGCTGCCATTTGGGTGGCAGAGCTTGGGGGCCACTGAGAGCCGGTGGACCCCCCAGCTTGGCCTAGGTAGGAGGAGAGAGAGTGCGCCTCATTCGGCTCCAGCCGGGGCCCCCTCCTGAGGTCCCCGCGGTGGGACAGTCCCTGGGAAGCGGTAGATGTGACAGGGAGTGAGTCCAGCTCAGCGCCCGGCCTGGGACTGGCGTTCACAGAGGCCCTCGGAGCTCCGAGCGCTGCACGGGCTCTCAGATGGTCTGCGTGGAACTCCGGCGAGCCCAGATCAAAGCACGGATCCACTTTTTGATGTGACATTTAATTTTTTTTTTAACTTCGAGGGGAACAGGCTGAGTCTCAGGTCTGGTTAGTTCTTTGGTCTTGTCCACGGGCTGGGGAGGGGCCAGTGGAGTTCTCAGATGCGTGTGCGTGTGCGTGTGTGTGTGTGTGTGTGTGTGTGAGTGGCCGGACCTGGGCTGGGTGCCGCTCTGTGGCAGGGGCCAGTGTTGGGAGGTGAGGCCACGTCTGGAATCACCTCCGATTCTGGGAGAAGCTCCCATCTGCCCCTCCGCCGCCTCCGCTTACTTAGCTGGGCCTTTCTCGTCCGCCTGTCTCTGCATCCCGAGGCTGGGCCGGAACTGGAGCTGCTGTCTGTCCCCTGGTCCAGGTCAGAACGTGGTGGGTGGGGCTCTGTCGCCGGGGCCCTTTAAAAGCAGACCTGTAAGCTTCCCCGCCTCCCCCCAGCATCGCTAGTTTATGATCTACATCTTTGTTTTAAAGCCCAATGAAAACGATCCGATCGAGCCACATGAACAAACGCATTTGTGGCCCAAGACAGAGGCCGACTGAGTGGCTTTCCATTAATCAAGTTAGGGGTTTCTTCCGCCTGTTTATTTTTACAAAGTATTCCTGCAGAATGACATTTTTTTTTGGTAGACCCCCCCCCCCCCCCCCCCCCCCCCATTCCCCCCTTTCCCTAAACTGCCAGGCAGCTTGCTCCATGCTTTAGGGGAAACTTGAAATACATCGCGGGCTTACTTCAACCGACTTTTATCTTCAAAGCCGTAACAAATGTTCCCCGCATGTTTTTGGTGGGTCTCCTTGGCATCCAGTCCTGGAGGATGGGAGGGAGGAGGAAGGAAGGAGAGAAAAACAAAAGTCTGTCGTTTTTAATTAAATAGTGGTGTTCCCAGCAAAAGGAATGCGAGC